ACTTACTAGAAACTAAGGTTGGACAAGTTAATGAGGAACATAATCAAACTTTATATACTACTCTCAAAAATTTGGACCAAGTTCTTCAGTTGACCATTCATATATTCACAGGATCTATATATTCTGAATCATCTCAATTCTACTAGGAACTCCCCTAACCAAGTATATCCCCCTAAATCTTCCTCTGCTTCAATTCTCTCAATAGCTTTCTAATAATCCCCCCTTCCTTTTACTCTCATAGTATTACCTACTGGACTTGGTGAGGCTTGAATTCACTGGGGCTCTCTGGATTTTTGGATTCTGCCTGTCACCCTCAGCTCACAGACATACTACAATTTTAAAAAGGAGGTAGAACAAAAGTCAGAAAATACTCATATGTAGATTTAGCCAAGCATTGGCCCAGAGGGCTGCAAGTATTGAATCCTCCTTGGCATTAAGGCTGGAGATGACAGTTTATACTGTCAACATGAAGAAGCCTAGAGAAAATGTTTATCTTTTTTTTTCAATCCAATGTTTAAAGATCCCACTCAACCCCTCAATATAGCACTTATTCTTTTTACCACTTACTTTAGAATCTCATCATACTCCCCATAACATCTCATTAATTATACTCTCCAGTTAACACTTTTTAGATCACCTATATAATGAACATATTGTTTATGACTTACACACAGTAGATGTGCCCAATTAGTCAACCATTTGTAGGGCAGCACTCCACATTACTCTATTAAAGAGCTTTTGATATAGTATCATAGTTAGTTTACATGTATCTTCATCCAATAAAGATTATGAACTCCCTTAGGGGCCCTGTGCTAAGTAAGCTTCTTAGTACTGCAAACGCCTAGCACAGTGCTTCACAAGAACAGACAGTAAATCTTCTCAAGCTAATGAGTGAAAAATATAAATTAGCTGAAAAGAAGAGGACATGCTCTAGATCAGAGATTCCCAATTAGTAGTCCACAGGTTGAATGCAGACAACAGACTTATGTTTAGTACAGTACTTGTACAATTCCTGTACAGTAAGTATTTAAGAAAACTAGAATTGGCAACATTGAAAAACCACACACAAAATCCCAGATGTTTTGCTTTTCTTGGGGAGGAATATTGGAATATCTGCCATGTGCCCTAAAAGATAAGAATTAATGAGAATAAAGCTGTTCCATTTACATTAGATAAGTACTCTACTTTGGTTCTTTTTTTTACATTACTCATTTATGTCACCTGTCTGTCTGGCACTTACATATATTTAGGTTCACAACCACTGATAAAGACTCATGAACTTAAGTGGGAATGTAGCTCAAGGGTTGAGCACTTTGGTAGCATGTTCAAGGTCCTGGGTTCTATCCCTCGTACCACAAATAAATAAGTGAAGGAAGGAAAGACCAGCGAATCCCTGGTGAGCTTTCTTATTCAAATTTTAGCCATTTCTACTTCCTAGCCACCATATTCTTCCATCGCCAAACAAGGTTATCAAAATCTCCTCTCTCATTCCAAATCTTGACAAAAGGAATCTATAGTGCTCAGCAGTAAAGACAGAAAGCAAAGCTTACATAAATCACTACAAATTGCTTAGACTGATGCTTTGTTTAATGGGTCAAATATTACGATGTATATCCTCCACTGAAGTATTTTGTAAAATGGGCTCTTACTTAAAAGTATGCTGTTAATAGTCACTTCTCATACTGAGAGCTAGTTAAAAGAGTCTATTTCGGCAAACTGAATTCAATAAATATTCACGTAGTTTTTACAAAAGAAATCTCCAAATCTACCAAGTCTGGTTCCAAATCTTGACTCTCAGAAATTCTGCAAAGTTACCTAACTTCTCAAAGCTTCAATTTCTTTACCTTAAAAATATAACTACAAAGACCCTATTTCCAAATAAGGTCACATTCTGAAGTTCCAAAAAGAAAAGAAATTTTGGAGGACACTCTTTTACC